GGGAAAGAGACCTCTGAGAGAAATGAGGATAGATAGAAGAAGTGGAGCTGGTAAGATGTTTCATCGATGCTTTACAGCTCGACTAACAGCCTGGTAGAGAGGATATTGGAAGTTAAAGACTCTTTTCCTTTTGATTTTTAACGTGTGTGTGTGTGTGTGTATGGATTTGCGTGTGTTTGTATTGTATCTATATATATTTCACACTTTTTTCAGTTGTAAAATTTCTGTTTGTTGAAGTATGACTTGTTTTTTTTTTTAGTGTTAATGGTCCTTTAGAATAGAAAAGATTGCTAGAACGAGCCGACTGAAATCAGGTGTCTGATGCTGACCTACTTCGTATCTTACTGTATTATTATTATTATTGTAACTGTCCACTAGTTTGGGGTAAAAGCATATTTTTCACTTCTGATTTTACTTGTCTTAATAGTAAAAATTGTTATTGGGACATTGTCACTGGAGGAAGTGTGCTCCGGCGGTCTAAAAGGTTTTATAATGAGGACATGCTCAGCCTGTTTTCGATCTTTGTTGCTTTCGTCTTGCATTAACCTGCTTTGGGACATTTTTTGTTGATGTGGTGGATCTTGTTCATTTTTACTAAGGACTGATTTTTTTAATGTAAAAGGAGAAGTTTATATCTTTAGTTTTTTCTTTTACTTTTCTTTCTTTTGTTATTTGTTTAATGAAGTTTAACTAAAACAAGTTAAAAGAGACGTCCTTCGTTATGTATCAACTGTTCATGTGCCAGATTTGCCGTGGTTCTGGTTTTTAGTCAGATATCTTTGCTAACCTCTTTCTTATAACAGACCCAGTACATTTTTAAGGAAAGCTCTCAAAATTTGTAGGATAAAATGGAGAAAGAACAATTAGTTTTAAAGTTATAGCCAAAAGTTTGTTTTTGCTCTGTTGTTTTTTGTTCCATCCCATTATCTAATTTCAATTTTAACTCGGCGTTAATGTGCACAACTTTTTTATTTTTTTTTATGCTGTCCTGTAGATTAGCTCTGATTCAATATCAGAACATTGTACCGTCCAGAATATTTCAGTAGCACTAGTCAAACATAATACATTCCTCATCTGCTTTGCTAGCTCAGTGAATCGGTAGCAAAAATGTTTTTCATACATAAACTGTACACTTCAGTTGACAGGCTGTCATTCAGTATAATGTGAGAGAGCACTTCTTAGTCTTGTGTCTAAACAATCGACGCTGTCAGGGCGCTAGCAGGGTGCTTGGCTTCTCAGTGGCTGAATCACTGGTCGACTGATCTCAGCTCATTTCCAACACTGTCATCTGATCTGAAACCAGCAGCTGGTGTTTAACAAATCCATGGCTCAGGTGTGAAAGGTGAAACTAATGAAAACATTTTGAAAAAGTGTTTTTTTGTTGTTGTTATTTTTTACCATATTAGGCCAAAAAATGTCCAGATTGACACCATATATATTAATAATCTATTATGTTTAGTTAGAACTGATCAACACTGATCATGTGAGTAGCTCAAAAGTTTGTTAAGGCTACAGCTGTGTTTCCATCTGGTACAGGTTACAGCTACATGGGCCATTGTACTTAAATGTAAATGGGTTGTTTATTTTTACATGACATTTTATGATATTGTGCCACTTTCACTATCTAGGCCAAGGTACTCTCACCAGGAAGCCCATCCCTTGTGTGTTAAGCAGATAATTTTTTTGGCCATCTTGAAAACCCTCATTATGTAACCCACAATAACATCAAGTGAATATCATGTCTTTTTTTTTTGTTTGTTTGTTTTGTTTCAGAAGCTGGGCCGTGATCCCTCTGATGAAGACTGCTTCTTTGACCTCCTTAGTAAGTTCCAGAGCAGCCGCATGGATGACCAGCGCTGCCATCTTGATGAGCCACAGAATGGAGATAAGGGAGACGGTGCTACAAACTCTATGCCATCCCTGAATGAGATGATGGGTCAGTTGATCTTCAGGGTCGATCTTAGGGACTTTAGTTCATTTTAAAAACTTACCATTTGAGAAATCAGTGGGAAAGTAATTCCTGCAAAGGCTCAAATACATTTACACCAACTGGGATCTGCTCCTTTCTCTTAGATCCTACAATTACCACTTCACCCCAGACTGAGGAGCTTTTTGATTTGATTGCTAGCTCTCAGAGCCGCCGTCTTGATGACCAGCGGGTTAATGTTGGTAACCTCCCAGGCCTGAGAATTACCCATAACAATTTGGGACACCTGGTGGGTGAAGGAGATCATCAGGAACCCAGTGATGACTTCTTCAACATGCTTATCAAGTGCCAGGTAAAGCCACTGTTCTCATGTGGCAAGAACGCTGTTTATTCCTCTTCTGTTCTTAATTCCTATGTTGTATTTGATATTGGTATTGGATTCGGAGGTGTTATTTCCATTTGTCACATTTCCCTCCACTCTCTACATCATCTTTATAACTGTAGTCCTCCAGGATTGATGATCAGCGGTGCTCCCCACCAGAAACGGGTCCCCATGCCCCCACAGTGCCTGATGAAGACTTCTTCAGTCTAATCCAGAGGGTGCAGGCCAAGCGTATGGATGAGCAGCGCGTTCATCTGCCCACAGATGACAAGGACGGCCCTCAGTCGCCTGATCCTGAGCCACCTGGTGGATTTTCCAGCTAGTACTTGGTGAATATTGCTGCACAACCTCATGTCAAAGAAAATAAAAGCAAAAGAAATAAAAGAAGGATGAGTAAAAACTAAAGACAGCACCGATGGCTGCACTGTCATGCTTTTTAATAACATAAATTCCATGTGCAATAGGTGGTGCCATGTCAAATATTGCTCGACGTATTCTGTTCTAAATGTCTAAATATAACATGGTGATGTGGGGAACAAGAAAATATAAACATAACACAACAGACATGAAATATGTGCTCAATCTAATGCCTTAATCAGCATTTATCAGACTCAAGATTGTACTCCCTGGAGTCAGATGTGTCTTTTAGATTAATGTGGACACATACAGTGCGAGCTGTGAAATTCACAAAGGTAGATAAGGATAGAACATGGATAGAAACAGGTTTGTTGAAAACGTATAAGGATTAACAGATTTGTACTGAAATCATAACCATTTTTATAAACACATAAATGATAGTGTTGATTTTTTTTGACAAACCGTATTAATTCAACTGCTGGTTTTACCATTATGCTTTTATGATTCCATCTGCTGATAGGAAACTGATGTTATTTGCGTAGTAACAGTATTAGGGGTGGCCATCCAGTGTTAACTGCTTTGAGTTTAACATTTCCACAGCCTGATAACCACATTTCATTTTTACAAATATAATTGAACTGACAGACTGATTGAAACATGGTTTTCCTAAATGTTATTTATAAAAATGCACCTCTTCATGTAGTATACAGTGACAGTGGTTACTGAGCAAAGGATATGAAATCGCTGCTTATTTTATGAAGATTAGAGGTGTGTAAAAATTCAAGCTCCATTTAAGGTTTGTGCTTGGCTTTTAAAGTGATGCTATCTGCAGCCCATAATGTTCTCACCATCTGATAACAGACTGCTTACTGCCATCGTTATTACATAGAAATAAACATGTCATTTTTAGAAGACTAATTGTATGAACAATATTTTTACAGTAGGTTGGTGCTGTTATACTGCCACCCTGTGGTCAACACCTTATATTACCTCTGAAAGAAAGAGTGAAATCAAGTGAGGATAAAATGCATTCAATTGCAATTTTTTTAGGGCAGCATTGTAATAATGATATTGCACTCCTAGTAGTAACCAGGATGGGTCCTATACCCAGTTCACAGTGGTTATGTTTGATTCATCTCTTTTTGATAAACAACGCAGTGGGAGTTGCATTTAACATTTTCTCTGTTTTTCTGTGAATTTGCATTTTTAGAAAGTACCCGAAGCACTTCTGTTTGTCTGCCATAATTTGTACATATAAATATATTTTGTATTTATGTTCCATCTGAGGACATGAAGATGTCCCCTCATGCTTTTAATAAAATGGTTCCTATGTTTCATGGGGCTGTACTTTTATTTCATTTTAGCTAAATGAATAGAGTAGTTTTTTGTAAAGATTGCACACATCAGTTCCTCTTTGTAAGCTTTGATTTGATTTATTCTTTCAAGCATGTAAAGACAGTTGATATAACAACACACATAATTTTACACATATCCAACAAATGCTAATCCAATATCAATTTGCTTATACCTAGTACATGCTTGAATGGAGTAGGAAGAAGTCAGACTTATCCAGTCCTACCCCATGACATCATCTTACCATCATTGGTTTGCAAGCAGTAAATAATTCTCTTCTACACCACACAAGTAATATACTAAAAAATTATAACAGAGTGTTAACATTCGTACATAATTACATTCTTAAATAATTATCTTCTACACCACACAAGTAATATACTAAAGAATTATTACAGAGTGTTAACATTCATACATCACACCCACAATTGTCCATCTAATTAATCATTAAGCCTGTTCTTGCATATATCTTGATTGACACATACCTTTATATTTATGTTTAAACTCATCAATTCTATTACTATTTCTTATGTCCGCACTTAAATTATTCCATAGTTTTACCCCACTTATGGAAATACAAAATCTTTTTTTGGTTGTACGTATAGCGTGAATTTTTAAATTTAACTGACCCCTTAAATTGTATCCCCCATCCCTTTCATTAAATAGTTTTTGAATTCCACCAGGTAATAAATTGTTCCTGGCTTTATACAAAAACACAGCAGTCTTATATCCCACTAAATCAAAAAA